AGAGAGAGAGAGAGAGAGAGAGAGAGAGAGAGAGAGAGAGAGAGAGAGAGAGAGAGAGAGAGCAGGATGGTGCAAACAAACAAAGCATGGACAAATAGAATGACACAAAAACAGCCCCAGTCAGAGAGACTAACATGTAATGAGTCTAATGACCCGACCAAACACGGACTGAGACACACAGCTGAGTTTTGCTCATGTACTGAATGCCTTGCTGAGTTTCCCACTTGTGACTGACTGCTCTAAGTCTGTGTGTGTGCACGCTTGCTGGTCTGCATGTCTGTCTGAGTGATTGTCGGCTTGAGTGTGTGTGTAACCCGCAAGGGCACTTCTTCGTTCAGTGGGCCCAAAGGGCCGGTACTTACCTGTGGCCGTGACCTTGAGGATTGCAGCGGGGAAAAACACTCGTGTGGCGGGGAAAGAGGCCCGCGACACTTGAAGCAGCGGAAAACACTCCAGGTAGAGGTAGATGTGCTTGGTACTCGAGGCCGAGCAGAAGAAGCCAAAAGTCGGCATTTTTAGAGGCCCAGTAGTTGTAGGCTAGGTCTAGGCGGGTACCAGTCCAACCAGTCTGAGTCTAGGGCCTGTACTGGCAATATCAGAGTCCGCAATGATGCTTCCCTCCGAAAGGGAGGAGGTACCAGTTGCTTGGAAGGCTGAGTGGCCTGGAGGTCACCACCCAAGAGGCAAGTAGGCCGCTATATCTCCAGGAGGAGCCAGTTGTTTTTATTATTCTCGGTGTGCAAGTTTGGCGACACACTGGTTGGAGCGCTGGCTGGAGCAGCGCTAGCAAGGAGCAGCGCTGCTGGGGAGGAGCAACGACAGGCAGAGGAAGAAGCCCAGGACTAGGAGGGAGGAGCGCCAGACGTACTGACCTGGCTATGGTGGTTGCCATCTTTATCACCTTGGTGGACGCTGCAGCAAGAAGGGCCCAGTTGGGGAAGAGCTACACCAAGAAGCTTCGAGGCAGGGTCAGGCATGGCGGCCTGAGCTAGAGCAGCCATAACTGCTTTGTGTTGTCCTTTGGACATCAGGGCAAGGCCCTAGTAGTCCGCCATAGCCTCGGCCTTGGACGAAGGAGGAGGAAGGGTGGCCATGGCTATGGTGGACCTCATGTGATTCCTGCAGTAGAAGAGGGATTCGGACATTGATTCTGGTTCAGCCATTCAACATTATTATTGTCATTTCTTGTGTGAATAAGAGAGGAGGAGATAAGGAGAGGAGAGTGGTTGGGGAAGAAGAAGAGCATTATCATTGGTCTATGCTGGTGTACATCATCTTCTTCTTCTTTCTTTCTTCTTCTTCTTCTTCTTACCCTCTCTCTCCTCTCAAGATCAATCATTTCTTTTTGCAATTGGACGGCATTGTACTTTCTGATGAATGTGTACTTCGAAATTGGCCAGGATCATAACAAACATCCTTTCCATAGTTCATAGCAAATCAAACTCCAAAAGGAAGAGAAGGGACAGCATGAGAGAGTACCAGCAGAAGCAGGCCGGCGTGGATGAGTATAGGGTTGCTCATTAGAAGAAGTTATGGGGCGGGGGCAGTGGAGGAGGACAGGCCAGCCCGTTGATGTCCAGCGATGATCTGGGACAATGCAAAGCCCAACGGCCACCAACATGAGGAAAATATGTAATATGACACACAGGAAGACTTGGATCAGATAGGATATGACCTGACCATGCAGCAAAATATGGCAACGTCACTCAGACCCAATCTCACACCAGCTGGGAAGGGTTTAAGCATAGAAGAACCTATATAATGAAATTTTACACAGACGAAGTACAGGGTGGGAGATGGGAGGATAAAGTCAACAATGACAATGACCACCACGACCAAGAAGAAGAAGAAGAAGAAGAAGAAGAAGAAGAAGAAGAAGAAGAAGAAGAAGAAGAAGAAGGGTGAGGAAAAAGAAGGACAAGGAATATACTTGCAACCGCACGAGCATCACGGCTGTGTGGTGCGGTGTGCCGCGCGACGAGCGGAACCTGCTCGTGCGCCGCACCAGCAACAATTTCTGTTTTTGCTTTTGTTTTTTGTTGCTGTCTTCACAGATGCAGAAGGGTGTACTGCCTAAGGACGAGATCCTGTTGAGCGTCAGAAATAGCCTAGTCTCTCTCTCTCTCTCTCTCTCTCTCTCTCTCTCTCT